CTTTAAGGACGTTCGCGCGAAAATTTTCCAGTCGATAGATTTTTTTAAATGTCTACTGCAGTCAGATAATGAGTTACTTGCGTCAGAAGTGCAAAAAAAATTGGGGGTCACTGACTTTGTTTCAGAGATAAAGCGTGTGGAAAACTACCCGATTTTGAAAATTTGGCCCACGTAATTCAGCATGGTCCACAGGGGTTTATAGTTAAAAATATCGAAGTTGAGTCAACGGACGCAAACGATCTTAGTCATATTTTGTAGAAGTGGGTCTGTTTCGTAAATAATTCCAAATGTTGCCAACGTTTTCAAAAAACTTAACCCTTCAAGTGGCATTTGAAACCGCCGTACAGATAAACAAAGAGCTCAAAATAACGGAATTCGATGGTGCATTTTGCAAATATTCAAACTTCTAATCGATAGATTTTTTTTTTTCGTTATTTCGCTAAACGTAGAAAATCGGTAGAGACAATGATCCATCAAAAGAAAAATAGGGGTCACCGACCGTCCAAGATCGTTAAATCTAGCCAAAGCTATAGCAATGGTCATCTGCCCTATCATTCAGTTCATTTTACCACTTAGCGCGCGCATCGATGCATGACGTGGCGTGTGAATTTGCGTGCGCAGTAAGGATGCGCAGACACAATTAGCGCGAACGTCCTTAATTTAAGCCAATTCAATCCACTAATGAAGATTTTATGAGAGCAAAGGGGGAGTCCTAGTTTCAGATAACAGTCAAGCTTGAGGCTGGTCCTTATTAAATTACTAACTTATTTCGCGGTGATTGCAATGAAGACGGAAGCGTGCACGTGGTAGGCTCGATAACCAACCGCTGTGCCCTGTTACGAGAGTGTTCCTAAAAGTGCGTTGTAACCTTCTTTCTACTCTGTTTTAGTGCCCGGGAAGCAGGAACACAATTTCGACGGTTTGGAGAAAAGCTTTCAAGCAGTATGAAAGTTACTATATCGATGCTTGTTGCAAGAAAGGTAAGGACTATAACGAGATCAGTTAATTTAAGGTTACTTCCCACCTTCGCGGGTGCCCTTCGGGAAAAAAATTGTACGCGCGCCAGTTTCAATAAAACTCCAACAAACTATATATCATAAGAAAGCTTAATAAATGTACTTTACGAACAAAATACAATTTTAGCAATGTTTTCTTTTAGGAAGTGTCAGGAGGCGGTAAGGCGTGAAACGACCGAGGCTTCTTCTATTGAATTTATCGGGTATCGGA